GAGAGAGAGAGAGAGAGAGAGAAAGTCTGCTAAATAAATAAAAATAATGCAATCATATAAATGAAGTCATATTAAATATTAATCATCTTGTAAACTCCACTTTATGAAAAATGATTATTAAACTTATAAAAATTTTAAAATAAGCAATATCTTGAACAAAACTATATAAATTTGGAAAAATTACAAAATTTCCTATGAACGAACTCTAAAAGTGTTTTTATTTCTTTCTATCCCTTTATACACCAGCAGGAAATAACAATTCTTACAATGAAGTCAATTTTTTTTTCTGTTTTATATTAATAAATGGCAAATTAATAATTTTTTATAAGATTGAGAGTTGTACTTATCATATATTTTAATAAATAAAAATAATCAAGATTCTGGAAATGGAATATCTGTATCTCTGATAATTTTGAAGTGTTTGATTCTATACTTTGAAACTATTAATGAATCAAAATGCATCATTATTACTATTTTAATTTATATTATTTTATTATTATTAACAGCATAAATGTATAAGATATAATAACTATTAATTATACTACAGTACTTTTCGTTAAAATATGAGAAATTCGAATATCCATCCTCAAAGTAAGCAAATTCAAATCATAACTAAGAACAGTGTTTTAACACTTAATATCAAAGGTCAATGGCAGTGTGTGTTAAACATTGCTCCTAGCTAATGTATTTCTTAAAGAAAAAATTAGTCAATGAAGATCTTAAAATACAAATAATAATAATATACCAATATTTCACATTATCAAGAATTATAATACATAAATGGTCATTCACAAAGAATATATACTCTGTAGGATTTCACGAAATTAGGGACTAAATAGATATATATATATTTTAGATTTAAAAGTTTTTGTTTTACAATAAATAAAGTAATGGTTTCCAATCTTTCATGATAACATTATGGACTTGTGAGAAAATTTTTGCAACATATATGAATAGGCAAAAAATAATGCATAACAATGTAAAAATAATAATAAACCATCCATCAAATTAATTCATTTTATTACAGAATGTGACATCAATGGTGTTACCATTTATGATTTTTTTTCCAGCTGTCAGTTAAGATCAATAATCTTCACAACAGCTAAAAGTGAAAAACTTGTTTTACATAAATATGATGATGAAAATTTTGCTGAAATATCTTTTAGATAAATTGGAATATTCATCAGAATTTTGAAATACTGTACATTCACTAATTTTTGTCATTGCCTCATAACCCTTTTCACTGAATCTTTGTGTTCCACTCCAGGTTTAGTCTATAAACTTTGAAAATCCTGTTCTATAGGGTCCTAGTTAATATAATTGATTTTAACTTGTCTATATAATATTCAAATTAAAATAAATTTTTTATTTCAGGATTATTTTATGTAACACAGTTTAATAAATTTTATTTAGGTTTTGCTTTCAGAAGAATTTTTATTTTTATTATTTAACTTAATATTGTTTAATTTTATTGCAGTCATCAAAGAACTTTTATATTGGAAGTAATGGGAAGACATTGTGGGTGAGTGTGTATTTTAAAAAAGTTATGAATTTTGTATTGAAATATTTTATATATATATCTTAATAATATAAAATATCTGATGGTTAGTTTAGTTGTTTGTATCTTTTATAAACTGTATAAGCATTTTTAAGGAAAAACTTTTGTTTTTCCTTAAAAATAAATTTTATCTTTATTATTATAATATTATTTTAATCAATAACTTAAATATCATTTCATATATATATTGATTGACATGATTTTTGACAATTTTAAAATTACAAATTTGTTTATATAAAGATAAAGCATGGACAGTTTTTATATCAGAATAATAATAATTTACATATACACATAAATGCATATATCTAATAATATATTTTGAGACACCATGAAGTCTTGACATTGGACTTTTTCACATCCACTTTATTTTCTAATGTACTTTAGTCTTTGAACTAATTGTTCTAAATGCCAATATGCGTTTTGAGCTAGTGCCCCTTATCTGTTGGCTAACAATATTTATTAGTACATAATATTAGCAAAAGGGCACAGTTTCAACACAGAGAAGATATATAATAATAATAAACTTTATTGTTTTGAGTTACAGCTCATACAATTGATAATTATTATAATTAATTAATTTAATATAAAACATGGTAGTAATACAAATATTAAAAATACATTTACAAAATTAGATCTAATGATTACATTACATTCAAGGACTTTTTATGTAATTAGCAATTGCTAACAGTAAGTTAATGATCAAATAGGCTGGTTTTTTAGAAATCAAAACAAACTAGTTTCTTTAATCAAGACCAGAGCTGTGGAGTCGCGTAAAAATCTACCGACTCCGACTTCAACTTTTCCTTACCATCCGACTCCAACTCCGACCAGGGGCAGACTTGTTACCAAAAGAGACGCGGAAATTCTGATGTCATCACGTGACCTCAGAATAAAAGATTCAATAAATAGAGTTCTAATAAAGATAGAGCATAGAAACTTTTTATTCCAAAGCTAAAAGACTTCTCTAAGTAATATATAAATATGTATTCGATAATTTTTACTTTTCTGGCTGTTATATATAACAGAGGAAACGTGTAGCGCTCGGTCAAAAAATGACCCCTCCCAAAGTTTTACATTTTTGGACACAGGACACCTTGAAATTTCGAGATATGCAAAAGATTTAAGGTTTTTTCTATGTGTGGATGTTAGACTGTGTGGGGGGGCATGATTTTGTTCACCCTGTTTGAAGCCTAATAACTTCTGTGGTCAGAGTGGTCAGAATTGGAGTCAGATGGTTTAACACAGGAGTAGGTTATTAAGCGCCAAAGTGGTTGAACTAAATCATATCCCCATATACATTCTAACATCTTAGGCGAAAACATCTTAATGGGTTTTACTGTACTATTATAAAATGGCAAAAAAGCTTTCTTTGAGGGTAGAGACGAGTTTTATTTTATTTATTTATAAATTTTGAACGCTAATAACGAGTAAAATATTCATTAAGAGATATGACACATGACCACTTTTATGTCTTCACTCTGTTGACCTTTAATTAAGAACCAAAATTTAATGGTATTAATGCCTCTTTATATGCAAGCCACAGTGCCACATTTCGTTTCTTAAAGTTTACCCATTCTGAGATATTGTTTAATATCTCAGAACAGAAAATAAAGAAATTAAACAAATTTAATGTTAATACACACATGCATGTGAATTTTTCCCCTTTATTAACTTTTTTGAGGGGTTTGGGAGGTCTCCAAATGTGTAGATTTGAAAAAAAAACTTGGAGTGTCAAATTTGACACGATTCCAATACTTTTTCGTTTTATATACATAACAAGTTGGTAAGTAAAAAGGAGTCGGAGTCGGCGGATTTTTTGACGACTCCGACTTCAGCTAAAACACCAAAACTCCACAACTCCAACTCTGATTCCACAGCCCTGATCAAGACAGTTAACTAATTCAGCAGTTTATGGAATTTATTTTGTGTAGTTCAACTAAGTATTGTATAAATTATATTAATTTATATAATATATGAAATATAAGATTATTAATTTCATCTTTATAGAAGATGCATTTGTTATTCTGCAGAATGATATTTTGATAGTTTAGTTTAGTAATATAAAAATTTAACACACATTTTGAATGAGAACTCTTCTTATCCTAGTAGAAATATGAGGAATTAATTATATATAAAAACTTTCTGATAATGAATGAGGGGTTAATAATCATTTATGGAGTGACATTTGATGAATGCTTTTCAGATCTATTTGTTGCATAAATACAGTAGACCCCCATAACACGGGTTCATATAACATGGATTCATATAACATGGCAAAAAAATTGCAAACATGTTTGTATAACACACTAAAGGAGACTCGTATAACACGGTAAAATGTCATCGCTGACTCGTGTCATGACAGAATTGGTCGAATCTAGACCAATAGCGGACATTGCACAAACCATTGAGTTTAAACGAGCAGCAGACCTACTAAAAACCGTTTATTATTTAACAGCCATAAAAATTATATTTATATTAATGATGTCTCCAAAGTTCAGCGAATTTTTCGCAGAAAAATAACTTATCAAGAAACACACGCCCCGCTATTCGATGAGCTGCTCTGTGATGAAAACAAGCTTAAGCAATGGCGTCTTCAAACGGTGCACACTCGGTAAGTAATCCTACAATTTTTTGTTTATAGCATAGTTTATATGGATTATTTCCAAAAAATTATATGTGATTTGGAAATGTTGAGTCAAATAAATCTAGAATTGATTAATTTTATGGAAGAAAACCTTTCAAACAGCCATAGTCCCTAAACTGCATATGTGCCGGGTTGTGATTGGCTTATGTATTTAAGTGACTCGTACAACACGGAATTCATATAACACGGAACGTATCTACCATGTTATAGGGGGATCTACTGTACCTTTTAACTGTAAATTTGCTTGTTGTATTCCAGTTTTAAATTGCTTAACTGTAAATTTGCTTGTTGTATTCCAGTTGTAAAATTGTTATCTGTTATTTGTTGTTGTAGATAAAGATATGATTAGCTGAATACATCAAAATTTTGAAAGAGCATGATGCAGCAATTGAAAAATTTGTTTATCAGAATATTTACAACCCTTGTCTATAAAATACCAAGTCTGATTTAATATATTGATTTAGGTAAATATTGTGTGGTTCAAGATGTTACATTCAAATAACTGGACATTTTACAAGTCACCTGCGTCATTGGTAATAAGAATGATGTCTAAATTGAACAGTAAGTTTACATCAAGTTCTGTTTGAAGCTAGGCAAGAGTCACAGAGACATTGAAGTTTTTACATGATACTTATGGCTATGAAGCTTTATCCTGGATGTGAGTGTTTGATAGGCCACCAACACTCTACCTGACATAAATTTTTTGTGCAACTCAATATTTGCACCCAAGATAAAGCTTCATTGCCATAACCATCATGTAGAAGCTGCAATGTCTCTGTGACTGTCTTGCTTAGCTTCATGCAGACCTTACTGTTCAATTTGGATATCCATTCTTATCGTGGCAAAAAGCACCACTGATGTGTCAGGAAAATTTTTTTGCCATACCCTGCCATCTAGCAGAAGTTGAGAAAAATTAACAAAAGTGACAAGATTACTTGTAAAATATCCAGTACTTGAATGTAACATTCAGAACTGCACAACATTGATTTAACTTTAAATATTAAATCAGTTTCAGAACTTTATAGACAAGGGTTGAAGTTTAATTAAAATAGCATTTTTTGGCAAGTACAGAGTTTGATAGGGCCAAGATTTTACACTAATATTTTAACATATATTTTCTATATAAATAATACAGTACTAAGAAACAGATTTATACTAAAAAAAGTAATCCCAGAAATTTAATCTTTTTGTAATATAAAGACTAAATGGTGTTTAAATTAAACATTTTAATTACAATTGCTACTTTACAGATATTTAGCCTTAGTAGGAGCTTTGGCTTCTGAAGCAGATTTTGTATTTATTCCTGAATGGCCACCTGAATCTGACTGGCCTGAAGTATTATGCCATAAACTGAAGCAGGTAAAATTTTTTTGTATTGATAAATGCAATAATATATTGAAATATGTCAAAAAATATACTAAAATCTCAATAACAAAATGAAATACTTTTAATAACTCCTTGATGTTTAAATTTTTAATGTTTAAAATAAATTTTTTTAATATCTTTCATAAACTGTATAAGCTATATTTCTGCTAGGTGAGCTTTTTATACAGCAGTGCTCTCAACTAATCAGATACTAGCTTTAATGTTTTTGTTTATATATAGTTAATATAGATATTTGTGATGAAGTTTGCCTTTATTTGTTAAATGAAATTAGTTTTTGTGCGTTAAGGTATTTGCTTGATAGCAATACCCGTATATGTTTATGGGTTCTTTTTTATAAAAAACAAATAACAACAGTCTTTGAAAGAAAGTTTTATGGTTTCTTTTCAGAAATTTATATCTACTTTAAAGTTTGAACAATGGTAACAATAAAACAATTTTCTATTTGTTTATTTTCCTGAATAATTGCTTAATTTATATCATGTTGAAATAATTACCAAATTTTAGGAAAATATTTTAATATAAATTAAATTTTTTATCCTTTTTCTAAATAAATATGATTGATTTTTGGTATTAAATTTACTTGTAGATTATATTTTGTGATCAAACTCTTAGGTAACTTTATTTGAAAAATGGAAAATTCAGTATGACCAAGTTAATATTTTCATATACAGTCAAATTCCTTTATAATGATATTTAGCAGAACAAAGAAAAAATATTGTTATAAAGAGATTTATTATTATAATGAGTGTTTTAAAAAAAGCATTTCTTTGTCATTTAACATTACTAAACTGCAAATAGGGTTATTTCTAAAAAAATTTTAAATGATGTTAAAGCAGAAAAACATGTAGTATTATTAGTCTCCTCTAGTACAAGATTTGGGTGATTTTATTGAATATTACTGTATTTCTGTAGTATATGTTGATTTCTGATTTTCAATTTTGAAATTTAATAATTCTAGTCAAAAAGGATTAAGTAAAACTAAACTAAGTCTAAATTTCTTATTCTTAAGGAAAGTGCTTTGTTTAATTATTTTAATTAGTGTAATTTGCAACTCTAAGACATCTCTTTCTGACTTATTATGTTAATTTAGGCACTAAAATACCAAAAACGTGCTAAATCTGGCAACTTTGCTCCTGTCTGTACTGATGTTCACTTATCAAAATTAATTAAAATTTAATTTACTGCATTATCATTATTGTAGAGAAATGAAAATATGTCTATTTTACAACTACAGTAAAAAATGTATTGCTAAACTGAGATATATCACAGTAGAGAATATTGTTCAATCAGGAAAAGTTTTACATTAAACTAATGCAAATTGCATAGGAAATTATATTTCTTATTATTATAGATGGGTTTATCATTATATCAATAATTGCTGTACTGAGGTTTGATTGTAATATTATAATATTTCAGTTATTTTATATCCTTATTTTAATCTATAACGCGAATTCGTATAACGCGACGAAAATTTGCGACTAGTACTCATACAAAATTCTAAGTTTGTCATCCTAGACCTGAAGAAAACGTATATTTCTTCATCAACTTCTAGGTCTAAATTGAAACCTGTATAAAACAGTCTGAAAGTGCAAGTTTCCTATAATGCGATTTCTTATAACGCGAAACATATCCCCCGCGTTGTACGGGACTCCGCTGTACATTAAAATACACTATGTATCAACAATAAACATTGAAGGTTTTGACAATTAATTTTATTTTTAATTAACTGTAAATATTATTGTAAAATAATAACAGTATCAAATCTGGATGGTCGAGGCAGTTAAGATATCTCTCTATCTTTCTGGGAATCTGGATCGATCTGGGTGATCGAAAAACCCGTGGAATTTTTGGAGTTGGACTATTCCGGATATGTCAGACCCTTTGCTCACGACCCGCTCCCACTATTGCGAGCTCAACCGAAATTACGATAAATATTTTTAAAAGACCCTCTTATTGCCACAGGCCTGTGCTTTTGGAAAATCTGTTCAACTCTTAGTGACTAAAAGCCAAACATATTTTTTTTAAAAAAACGTTANAAATGGCAAATTAATAATTTTTTATAAGATTGAGAGTTGTACTTATCATATATTTTAATAAATAAAAATAATCAAGATTCTGGAAATGGAATATCTGTATCTCTGATAATTTTGAAGTGTTTGATTCTATACTTTGAAACTATTAATGAATCAAAATGCATCATTATTACTATTTTAATTTATATTATTTTATTATTATTAACAGCATAAATGTATAAGATATAATAACTATTAATTATACTACAGTACTTTTCGTTAAAATATGAGAAATTCGAATATCCATCCTCAAAGTAAGCAAATTCAAATCATAACTAAGAACAGTGTTTTAACACTTAATATCAAAGGTCAATGGCAGTGTGTGTTAAACATTGCTCCTAGCTAATGTATTTCTTAAAGAAAAAATTAGTCAATGAAGATCTTAAAATACAAATAATAATAATATACCAATATTTCACATTATCAAGAATTATAATACATAAATGGTCATTCACAAAGAATATATACTCTGTAGGATTTCACGAAATTAGGGACTAAATAGATATATATATATTTTAGATTTAAAAGTTTTTGTTTTACAATAAATAAAGTAATGGTTTCCAATCTTTCATGATAACATTATGGACTTGTGAGAAAATTTTTGCAACATATATGAATAGGCAAAAAATAATGCATAACAATGTAAAAATAATAATAAACCATCCATCAAATTAATTCATTTTATTACAGAATGTGACATCAATGGTGTTACCATTTATGATTTTTTTTCCAGCTGTCAGTTAAGATCAATAATCTTCACAACAGCTAAAAGTGAAAAACTTGTTTTACATAAATATGATGATGAAAATTTTGCTGAAATATCTTTTAGATAAATTGGAATATTCATCAGAATTTTGAAATACTGTACATTCACTAATTTTTGTCATTGCCTCATAACCCTTTTCACTGAATCTTTGTGTTCCACTCCAGGTTTAGTCTATAAACTTTGAAAATCCTGTTCTATAGGGTCCTAGTTAATATAATTGATTTTAACTTGTCTATATAATATTCAAATTAAAATAAATTTTTTATTTCAGGATTATTTTATGTAACACAGGTTAATAAATTTTATTTAGGTTTTGCTTTCAGAAGAATTTTTATTTTTATTATTTAACTTAATATTGTTTAATTTTATTGCAGTCATCAAAGAACTTTTATATTGGAAGTAATGGGAAGACATTGTGGGTGAGTGTGTATTTTAAAAAAGTTATGAATTTTGTATTGAAATATTTTATATATATATCTTAATAATATAAAATATCTGATGGTTAGTTTAGTTGTTTGTATCTTTTATAAACTGTATAAGCATTTTTAAGGAAAAACTTTTGTTTTTCCTTAAAAATAAATTTTATCTTTATTATTATAATATTATTTTAATCAATAACTTAAATATCATTTCATATATATATTGATTGACATGATTTTTGACAATTTTAAAATTACAAATTTGTTTATATAAAGATAAAGCATGGACAGTTTTTATATCAGAATAATAATAATTTACATATACACATAAATGCATATATCTAATAATATATTTTGAGACACCATGAAGTCTTGACATTGGACTTTTTCACATCCACTTTATTTTCTAATGTACTTTAGTCTTTGAACTAATTGTTCTAAATGCCAATATGCGTTTTGAGCTAGTGCCCCTTATCTGTTGGCTAACAATATTTATTAGTACATAATATTAGCAAAAGGGCACAGTTTCAACACAGAGAAGATATATAATAATAATAAACTTTATTGTTTTGAGTTACAGCTCATACAATTGATAATTATTATAATTAATTAATTTAATATAAAACATGGTAGTAATACAAATATTAAAAATACATTTACAAAATTAGATCTAATGATTACATTACATTCAAGGACTTTTTATGTAATTAGCAATTGCTAACAGTAAGTTAATGATCAAATAGGCTGGTTTTTTAGAAATCAAAACAAACTAGTTTCTTTAATCAAGACCAGAGCTGTGGAGTCGCGTAAAAATCTACCGACTCCGACTTCAACTTTTCCTTACCATCCGACTCCAACTCCGACCAGGGGCAGACTTGTTACCAAAAGAGACGCGGAAATTCTGATGTCATCACGTGACCTCAGAATAAAAGATTCAATAAATAGAGTTCTAATAAAGATAGAGCATAGAAACTTTTTATTCCAAAGCTAAAAGACTTCTCTAAGTAATATATAAATATGTATTCGATAATTTTTACTTTTCTGGCTGTTATATATAACAGAGGAAACGTGTAGCGCTCGGTCAAAAAATGACCCCTCCCAAAGTTTTACATTTTTGGACACAGGACACCTTGAAATTTCGAGATATGCAAAAGATTTAAGGTTTTTTCTATGTGTGGATGTTAGACTGTGTGGGGGGGCATGATTTTGTTCACCCTGTTTGAAGCCTAATAACTTCTGTGGTCAGAGTGGTCAGAATTGGAGTCAGATGGTTTAACACAGGAGTAGGTTATTAAGCGCCAAAGTGGTTGAACTAAATCATATCCCCATATACATTCTAACATCTTAGGCGAAAACATCTTAATGGGTTTTACTGTACTATTATAAAATGGCAAAAAAGCTTTCTTTGAGGGTAGAGACGAGTTTTATTTTATTTATTTATAAATTTTGAACGCTAATAACGAGTAAAATATTCATTAAGAGATATGACACATGACCACTTTTATGTCTTCACTCTGTTGACCTTTAATTAAGAACCAAAATTTAATGGTATTAATGCCTCTTTATATGCAAGCCACAGTGCCACATTTCGTTTCTTAAAGTTTACCCATTCTGAGATATTGTTTAATATCTCAGAACAGAAAATAAAGAAATTAAACAAATTTAATGTTAATACACACATGCATGTGAATTTTTCCCCTTTATTAACTTTTTTGAGGGGTTTGGGAGGTCTCCAAATGTGTAGATTTGAAAAAAAAACTTGGAGTGTCAAATTTGACACGATTCCAATACTTTTTCGTTTTATATACATAACAAGTTGGTAAGTAAAAAGGAGTCGGAGTCGGCGGATTTTTTGACGACTCCGACTTCAGCTAAAACACCAAAACTCCACAACTCCAACTCTGATTCCACAGCCCTGATCAAGACAGTTAACTAATTCAGCAGTTTATGGAATTTATTTTGTGTAGTTCAACTAAGTATTGTATAAATTATATTAATTTATATAATATATGAAATATAAGATTATTAATTTCATCTTTATAGAAGATGCATTTGTTATTCTGCAGAATGATATTTTGATAGTTTAGTTTAGTAATATAAAAATTTAACACACATTTTGAATGAGAACTCTTCTTATCCTAGTAGAAATATGAGGAATTAATTATATATAAAAACTTTCTGATAATGAATGAGGGGTTAATAATCATTTATGGAGTGACATTTGATGAATGCTTTTCAGATCTATTTGTTGCATAAATACAGTAGACCCCCATAACACGGGTTCATATAACATGGATTCATATAACATGGCAAAAAAATTGCAAACATGTTTGTATAACACACTAAAGGAGACTCGTATAACACGGTAAAATGTCATCGCTGACTCGTGTCATGACAGAATTGGTCGAATCTAGACCAATAGCGGACATTGCACAAACCATTGAGTTTAAACGAGCAGCAGACCTACTAAAAACCGTTTATTATTTAACAGCCATAAAAATTATATTTATATTAATGATGTCTCCAAAGTTCAGCGAATTTTTCGCAGAAAAATAACTTATCAAGAAACACACGCCCCGCTATTCGATGAGCTGCTCTGTGATGAAAACAAGCTTAAGCAATGGCGTCTTCAAACGGTGCACACTCGGTAAGTAATCCTACAATTTTTTGTTTATAGCATAGTTTATATGGATTATTTCCAAAAAATTATATGTGATTTGGAAATGTTGAGTCAAATAAATCTAGAATTGATTAATTTTATGGAAGAAAACCTTTCAAACAGCCATAGTCCCTAAACTGCATATGTGCCGGGTTGTGATTGGCTTATGTATTTAAGTGACTCGTACAACACGGAATTCATATAACACGGAACGTATCTACCATGTTATAGGGGGATCTACTGTACCTTTTAACTGTAAATTTGCTTGTTGTATTCCAGTTTTAAATTGCTTAACTGTAAATTTGCTTGTTGTATTCCAGTTGTAAAATTGCTTATCTGTTATTTGTTGTTGTAGATAAAGATATGATTAGCTGAATACATCAAAATTTTGAAAGAGCATGATGCAGCAATTGAAAAATTTGTTTATCAGAATATTTACAACCCTTGTCTATAAAATACCAAGTCTGATTTAATATATTGATTTAGGTAAATATTGTGTGGTTCAAGATGTTACATTCAAATAACAGGACATTTTACAAGTCACCTGCGTCATTGGTAATAAGAATGATGTCTAAATTGAACAGTAAGTTTACATCAAGTTCTGTTTGAAGCTAGGCAAGAGTCACAGAGACATTGAAGTTTTTACATGATACTTATGGCTATGAAGCTTTATCCTGGATGTGAGTGTTTGATAGGCCACCAACACTCTACCTGACATAAATTTTTTGTGCAACTCAATATTTGCACCCAAGATAAAGCTTCATTGCCATAACCATCATGTAGAAGCTGCAATGTCTCTGTGACTGTCTTGCTTAGCTTCATGCAGACCTTACTGTTCAATTTGGATATCCATTCTTATCGTGGCAAAAAGCACCACTGATGTGTCAGGAAAATTTTTTTGCCATACCCTGCCATCTAGCAGAAGTTGAGAAAAATTAACAAAAGTGACAAGATTACTTGTAAAATATCCAGTACTTGAATGTAACATTCAGAACTGCACAAAATTGATTTAACTTTAAATATTAAATCAGTTTCAGAACTTTATAGACAAGGGTTGAAGTTTAATTAAAATAGCATTTTTTGGGAAGTACAGAGTTTGATAGGGCCAAGATTTTACACTAATATTTTAACATATATTTTCTATATAAATAATACAGTACTAAGAAACAGATTTATACTAAAAAAAGTAATCCCAGAAATTTAATCTTTTTGTAATATAAAGACTAAATGGTGTTTAAATTAAACATTTTAATTACAATTGCTACTTTACAGATATTTAGCCTTAGTAGGAGCTTTGGCTTCTGAAGCAGATTTTGTATTTATTCCTGAATGGCCACCTGAATCTGACTGGCCTGAAGTATTATGCCATAAACTGAAGCAGGTAAAATTTTTTTGTATTGATAAATGCAATAATATATTGAAATATGTCAAAAAATATACTAAAATCTCAATAACAAAATGAAATACTTTTAATAACTCCTTGATGTTTAAATTTTTAATGTTTAAAATAAATTTTTTTAATATCTTTCATAAACTGTATAAGCTATATTTCTGCTAGGTGAGCTTTTTATACAGCAGTGCTCTCAACTAATCAGATACTAGCTTTAATGTTTTTGTTTATATATAGTTAATGTAGATATTTGTGATGAAGTTTGCCTTTATTTGTTAAATGAAATTAGTTTTTGTGCGTTAAGGTATTTGCTTGATAGCAATACCCGTATATGTTTATGGGTTCTTTTTTATAAAAAACAAATAACAACAGTCTTTGAAAGAAAGTTTTATGGTTTCTTTTCAGAAATTTATATCTACTTTAAAGTTTGAACAATGGTAACAATAAAACAATTTTCTATTTGTTTATTTTCCTGAATAATTGCTTAATTTATATCATGTTGAAATAATTACCAAATTTTAGGAAAATATTTTAATATAAATTAAATTTTTTATCCTTTTTCTAAATAAATATGATTGATTTTTGGTATTAAATTTACTTGTAGATTATATTTTGTGATCAAACTCTTAGGTAACTTTATTTGAAAAATGGAAAATTCAGTATGACCAAGTTAATATTTTCATATACAGTCAAATTCCTTTATAATGATATTTAGCAGAACAAAGAAAAAATATTGTTATAAAGAGATTTATTATTATAATGAGTGTTTTAAAAAAAGCATTTCTTTGTCATTTAACATTACTAAACTGCAAATAGGGTTATTTCTAAAAAAATTTTAAATGATGTTAAAGCAGAAAAACATGTAGTATTATTAGTCTCCTCTAGTACAAGATTTGGGTGATTTTACTGAATATTACTGTATTTCTGTAGTATATGTTGATTTCTGATTTTCAATTTTGAAATTTAATAATTCTAGTCAAAAAGGATTAAGTAAAACTAAACTAAGTCTAAATTTCTTATTCTTAAGGAAAGTGCTTTGTTTAATTATTTTAATTAGTGTAATTTGCAACTCTAAGACATCTCTTTCTGACTTATTATGTTAATTTAGGCACTAAAATACCAAAAACGTGCTAAATCTGGCAACTTTGCTCCTGTCTGTACTGATGTTCACTTATCAAAATTAATTAAAATTTAATTTACTGCATTATCATTATTGTAGAGAAATGAAAATATGTCTATTTTACAACTACAGTAAAAAATGTATTGCTAAACTGAGATATATCACAGTAGAGAATATTGTTCAATCAGGAAAAGTTTTACATTAAACTAATGCAAATTGCATAGGAAATTATATTTCTTATTATTATAGATGGGTTTATCATTATATCAATAATTGCTGTACTGAGGTTTGATTGTAATATTATAATACATTTTTCTGTGAATATCCTTATTTTAATCTATCATTCTTGCATATAAGATATAATAATAATTATTATTATTATTATCATCTAAATTAACAAATTAGTGATTTGTTTACAAATGAATTTTAATACAAAATAAAAATATTTTAAAATTACATATATTAAATAAAATTGTAACAGGGCAGAGATATTGGACAACGTTTGAATATTATTATTGTTGCTGAGGGAGCCATAGATAGGCAAGGAAATCCAATAACAGCAGAAGATGTAAAAAAGGTATTAAACTATTTATTTTGATGTGTATTGTAGTTTACTTTATATTGATGAGCTCTTTTTATGTTTTTTATTTTATTAAGGTTATTGAAGATAACTTAAAACAGGATGCAAGAATCACTGTTCTTGGACATGTTCAACGTGGTGGAAGTCCTTCTGCATTTGACAGAATTCTTGTAAATGAAAAAGAAAAAATTAGTATATAAGTAATTATTTACAATTTATAATGCTTATGCAATTCAATTGTTAGGGTTGCAGGATGGGTGCTGAAGCAGTGATTGCTCTTTTTGATGCTACTCCTGAATCAGAAGCTTGTGTTATTTCACTAGCTGGAAATCAAGCTGTTCGTCTTCCACTAATGAAATGTGTACAAATGGTAAGCATTATATAACAACATAAAAAAAATTCATTTTTTTAATATAAAATTGCAAATAATCTCAAATTATATCTGATTTTATATTTAAATGTTTATCATGTTGTATTTACAATTTAAGTTATTGTCAAAATATTCATAAAAATTTGGAATAGTCTTATATTTATTTATAGGTATCTATTATAAATGATTTTAAAATTGTAATAGATTCTAATTTATATATTATTATTATTATTATAGTTCTTGAGATGATGATTGAGAAATTACATTCTGCAAATTCTATATTATATGATAAAATCTGCATCAAAATGAAAGTTTGATGAATGTCATATTTAGCTTTCATGTTACGTCTGGAAATAATACTTAATTATAATGTAATTGGTCAATATTTATCTTCTTTATCAATATCACATTTAAAGTTCAATGTCCTGACATCATTGATGTGGAAATTCTTGCTCCATGAATAGATAATTCATGTCATATTTTCTGTTTAAACACATTAAATACATTTCCTTAAATAAAAAGACAGTCAATTCCAAAAAATTTTCTGTTAAAACGTTGGTCAATCACCTTTTATTTCCATTAAAATTTCAGGATAAACTTCAGCGACCGGACCTTCCTTTTTAGGCTACACGGTCGCCTATAAAATTTTAAAAATAGAAAAATTTTTTGTAATAATTCGCCGCCAGGAGGAGAATAAGGACAATTTACATTTAACAGCGCATTCCTTGAGTAAATATAAGGATCCGAAACTCCCGAATGGAAGAAGGATGAAAACCTAAAGACGTCGAAAGATCACCAATTCCAATTTTTTACAACTTTTTTTACAAGTTTTAATGCTTAAATTGGATTATTTCTGTATTTTAAAGGACTGTTTTATAGGCGACCGTGTAGCCTAAAAAGGAAGGTCCGGTCGCTGAAGTTTATCCTGAAATTTTAACGGAAATAAAAGGTGATCGACCAAAGTTTTAACAAAAAATTTTTTGGAATTGACTGTCTTTTTATTTATTGGAAAATTTTACATCCAGCGAAATTTTAAAAATAGAAAAATTTTTGTAATAATTCGCCGCCAGGAGGAGAATAAGGACAATTTACATTTAACAGCGCATTCCTTGAGTAAATATAAGGATCCGAAACTCCCGAATGGAAGAAGGATGAAAACCTAAAGACGTCGAAAGATCACCAATTCCAATTTTTTACAACTTTTTTTACAAGTTTTAATGCTTAAATTGGATTATTTCTGTATTTTAAAGGACTGTTTTATAGGCGACCGTGTAGCCTAAAAAGGAAGGTCCAGTCGCTGAAGTTTATCCTGAAATTTTAACGGAAATAAAAGGTGATCGACCAAAGTTTTAACAAAAAATTTTTTGGAATTGACTGTCTTTTTATTTATTGGAAAATTTTACATCCAGCGAAATTTTAAAAATAGAAAAATTTTTGTAATAATTCGCCGCCAGGAGGAGAATAAGGACAATTTACATTTAACAGCGCATTCCTTGAGTAAATATAAGGATCCGAAACTCCCGAATGGAAGAAGGATGAAAACCTAAAGACATCGAAAGATCACCAATTCCAATTTTTTACAACTTTTTTTACAAGTTTTAATGCTTAAATTGGATTATTTCTGTATTTTAAAGGACTGTTTTATAGGCGACCGTGTAGCCTAAAAAGGAAGGTCCAGTCGCTGAAGTTTATCCTGAAATTTTAACGGAAATAAAAGGTGATCGACCAAAGTTTTAACAGAAAATTTTTTGGAATTGACTGTCTTTTTATTTATTGAAAAAATTTTTACATCCAGCGAAATTTTAAAAATAAAAACATTAAATACAGTCAAATTTTGTTTGGAATCATGAAAATGACAAATTAATGGAAGATGATTAATTTTGAGATAATAATAGACAAAGTAAATTGAATTAAAAATGTCCAAAAACTAAATGATGTGACTCAAAAAACACATTTACCACATTCAGCTGATGTAACTGTATGGATTCACTGACTTGTTTTAAAAATAGATCTAGCTCATAAAATAAACATTTTTATGATAGTCTCAATATTGAATTTCCATATTGGAACTACCATAAAAACTTATTCTTTAATAAATAATGAAAAAATAATTATTATTATATAAATGTATAATTAATAAAATTCATTTTTTATTAAACATTTTTATAGACAAAGAATGTTGGAAAATGTATGAAAGATAAAAATTGGCAAAATGCTGTTAAACTTCGGGGAAGGTAATTTTGTTTATGATTATTATTGTTTTAGAATAATTTATTGCAATTATTATTTAGTTACGATTAATACTACTTATAATAAAATAAATAGTATTATAATTTTGGATGGTAACCTGTGAGTTATCTATGTTTACAATGCAATTTGAAATGGTGTGCCTGTTGTAAATGTGAAATTTAGACTTTTGAAAAAACTTTATAAACTTTATTGACAATTAACTCAACAATGATTACAGTTAATCTTATAGGTAATCATCATTAATATCAATTGCATTTTTCCACCTTTGCTGCAAACTTTCAATTTGATTAACATAAAACAACTGGGGGGTTTTCTCTGAAGAAAGTCTCAAGTATCAATCTCACATGGATATTGTTATTGAACCATGTACAGTGGTACCTGATACTTCAAATGTTTTAGAGTTTGAACACCTAATTCATCAAAAATCCACTTTGGAATTCAAACAATGCTTTAAAGTTCAAACTGAGCATTGAACAAAAAATGCACTTGAAGCATAAAGTAAGCTTCTGAACAAAGAATCTTAGATTAGCTATAACATGTTGAAATTCACAACTGTTATAATTAAATCACACATCTATGTTAAATAACAACTGTTAAAAATATGCAAAAACTTTCTGTTCAATTCTTTACTTATTAATCATTGCATCCAAGAAGTATGTGGAAGCAATGAAGTATAACTAATGAAAGAAGGCTTGAAAAAGGCTAAGATAAAAAAGAACTTATTGTGAAGTGTGAAAGTGGTACATGTGTGGTGGATCTTGCAGCCATGTTTAAGATGCTGAAGTCAGTGATGCATGACCAATAAATGCAATTTTCATTTTATTATACATTATTTATATATTCCCATAGATAGGCAAGGAAATCCAATAACAGCAGAAGATGTAAAAAAGGTATTAAACTATTTATTTTGATGTGTATTGTAGTTTACTTTATATTGATGAGCTCTTTTTATGTTTTTTATTTTATTAAGGTTATTGAAGATAACTTAAAACAGGATGCAAGAATCACTGTTCTTGGACATGTTCAACGTGGTGGAAGTCCTTCTGCATTTGACAGAATTCTTGTAAATGAAAAAGAAAAAATTAGTATATAAGTAATTATTTACAATTTATAATGCTTATGCAATTCNAAAAAGGCTAAGATAAAAAAGAACTTATTGTGAAGTGTGAAAGTGGTACATGTGTGGTGGATCTTGCAGCCATGTTTAAGATGCTGAAGTCAGTGATGCATGACCAATAAATGCAATTTTCATTTTATTATACATTATTTATATATTCTATTTATTGTTTTTATATTTTAATTTATTTTTACAGCATTTACTTGTGTTATTTTTACCTTAAATTATGTGTTTGCTGTTTTATTTAAGTTTACCAAAATGGGTATTGTTTAATTAAGGTCTGAGAATGGATTAATGCACTTTCTATTATTTCTATTGGGAAAAATTGCTTTAGACTTTAAATGATTTGGAGTTTGAATGCTCCTGGAATGAATTAAACTTGAAGTACAAGGTATCACTGTATTGGCAGTATGGTTCTGCAGGGTACAAAATAGATTGTAGTCAGTTGGTGCCAAGTCTGGTCTGTAAGATGGATGAGGTAGAACTTCCCAGCCCAGACTGGCTAGCTTCTCTAAGGTTATCTTTGCTTTGTGCCAGCTTGTTGTCATGGTGGTATTTGACTTTATCGATTTTTGGAGTGTATTGAACACTCAAGCTGTTTCTCTGATGGTCAACTGTGGATTATCATCATTCAGTTGCAAGAGAACATCATCAATGGTGGAATGGCTGCTTGGTTGGGGTTTATCTTAAAGTAAAAAATCTCCATTCTTGAATTTCTTGAATCAATTGTAGCAGGTCTGCCTGTTGACTGTGTCCTCACCAAATACCTTGCAGATGAGATTGTAAACCTTCATTTTGAAGTGATAGAGCAACAGCACACAAATGTGTTCTTTTGAAAGTTTCATATTGTCAGATATTACTGATGCATCTATTTCCAATGAAATATATGATGAAACATCTCTTGGATACTCTATTTATATGCCAACATTGAATGTTTTAGAACATTTTTTCCAGTTGTTTCAAGAAAAACTGAAATGTCTAGATTTCACTTTACAACCCTGATACAATGGAATGGATTATGTATGTGAGTGTCCGAGATACGTATTTGTAGGATGGCTCTTGGGTGTGTAACAGTTTGTATTTGTGAGAAAGCTTTTGATGTATTATGTTTATTATTATTTGTTAAATAAACCAAATAAAGAACTAAAAAATTTTGTTTTCATTTAATTGTAATCTCTCTCACACACGAAGTTTAGGAGGCTTCCTCTTAGTATTTCATTTTTTCATTTCACTTATTTTATAGTTACATCTACGTTGAAGTGAAATAAAAAAAATATTATTTGATGTTTGTTATAATACCTTTTAAACAGCATACTAGTATGTAGTATAAATTGCTTCTTGTTTGAATAACTATGTTAATAAATGACTTTAAGGTGACACAGTCATCTTAAAGTTATTTGTGGTCATTATGATAAATTTGGTTTTGAGGCATATTAATAGCAAATAAAAAATTAGCATTCTAGTATGTTTATGCTTTTAATAACTATTCAAAAGGCTTGGGATATACAGTAAGGCAGATTATGCAAAGATAAAGATTTTATTTTCATTCTAGCATTTTTTGTGGTCATTGGTTATATGCTTTCTCAAGTTAATTACACAAAATTATAGTAATTTTTGTATTAGTATGATAAATAAACTTAAATTTAGTACTCAAAAACTAACTATTTTTTATTTATAGGAGTTTTGAACGGAATTTAGAGACATATAGAATGCTGACAAGAATAAAGCCTCCAAAAACTTCTTTGGAAAGTTTAGGAAAAGATATAGTTAGTATTTAATAATTAATAATTTTGTAATAAAAAATGTAGATTTTAGGATAATTCTTTTTCTGCATTTACATAGTGAATTAATTATATTGAATAAATGTATTAAAATAATTAAGTAAGAGTCATATGATTTACTGCTTTGTTTTTTATAAATTATATAATGCATTCTAAAATATTTTGGTTGAGTATTTCTAATGTTGATTTTAGTATCCTGTATGTTAATTTTAAAAAATTTTTTAGATAGAAATTTATTTTATTTTTATATTATTACTCTTACTTTATTATACACATTTAACATTTTTACTCATTTCTGAAAATTTATTGAAATTTAAAGTTCAAAAAGAATTATTTTGAAATTTGCCATTTACAACTTTAATTCAGAAAAAGAAAAGTTAATTCTTTTTTAAAATTATTTATGGATTACTATTTTCCTAGTAATCTTTTGTGACATATTTAATGATAACCGAAGACTCTTAACCAATTTTTTTCTTTTATCCTTTCTGAGAAATTTATTAAGGAGATTTTTTTTTTTACTTCGGTGAATGAATAAGTCAGTTTTACATATTTGACATCAACTCAAGGGTATCCATAGGAAGTGGCCAACAAAGACAATTGCTCTTTCTGAGATACTTTCTTTCTTTATTTCTTCCTCTTTTTTCTCCTTTTTGTTTATGACAACTTCTTTTACATACAGACCAATCCCCACTTATTAAAAAGTTTATAAACATAAACCTTGTAGACACAGATAATTCAGTATCAAGGTAAAGGCATTATCACAATACTTGTTTAAAAACAATAATGAGCTTACACTACAGTCGATAGTTGGAGTACATGGCATGTCAGACTTGCAATATCACTATATGTCAGATTGATTCACAGTGGCATAGATTTAGATTTATAATGATGCCAAATTCTTCTCTACTTCTTGCAAGTAAACTTTTTTGAAAACTCAATATAATTTTAGTATTAAATTAGTAT